CTGCTGCCAGCCACTGCTACATTACGTTCTCTACGTACGTTCTGGTCAGGTCAGGTAGTTAAAGAGGTGCGTTGTTGCGCGAGGGATCCCTTCTCGCTGGCAGCGCCACCACCGGAATACGGAGCGGATGGTCCTCAGTCGATAACCGCTACTGCTACTGCTGCTTCTCTGCCTGCCGCCGTTAGTTCGCCGACCTTTCTTTCTGCTTAGACTCAGTTGCTAAGGCTCAAATACGACCTTTCTCTCTTTCCCTTTCAAACAACACATACACACACACGCACGCACAAACACACACAAACACGTTCCCTTCACGTTCTCCTCCACTCCCCCGTCTTTCAGTCCCTTCCCCCCAACCCCCCCCTCCCTTACTTGGCCTGCAGCTTGCTCCGAACGTTCTTCTCCTCCTTCTGAGTGATCCTCAAGCACCTGGTTCGTACATTGGCTGCCCGGTGCCACTCGAGCTTCAGGGTCTTGTCCAGGATGAGCCCCAGGTCGTCAGCGGCGGACTGGGGGGGGGGGGGAAGGGGGATTTGGAGGGGAGAGGTTTGGAGGCAGTGTTTTTTTGGGTAATATATTACTTTTTTGGGAAGAAATGGGGTTCTGAGCCTGGAAGAAATGGAATCGTTGGTCAGTTGGTGTACTGGTTCATTACTTCGGCCATAAGTCGCCCCAAATGCCTTCTGCACATATAAAGCTGACCATTTGGAGCTTATACACTATATACATGGAGCTTATACACTATATATATGGAGCTTATACACTATATATATAACATTTGATAATATCACCATGAGACGGCCCGCTGTTGCATTCAACTTAGGTCAACGGGGCATTCGTTCATTCTTGACCAAAGCAAACGGCTCAGAAACTCCGCAGACGCAATGCCCCAAGCATTTAGAAGAAGAATTAGATAATACAGAAGACAGGATAGGCATGCCGCAGTTGCCGCTCTTGAAGTCAGTGAAGTAAGGCCTTTGAGGGGGGGGGTCTGGGGGGGGGCGCAGCCCCCCCCAGCGACTATACAAATAGGAATTGTAACCGCAAGAAACACACAGTTTATTACTCTAGGGGAGGGGGATGGAGGGGAGGGGGATGGAGGGGAGGGGGATGGACGGGAGGGGGATGGACGGGAGGGGGAGAAGAGAGTTATGCTAGACACCAGTCGGGGCTGAAAAGAGCGGCCACCGGCCATGGGAGGAGGATCCCGGGACCCCTCCCCGGGGGGGGGGGAAACCTTACAGATGACCTGAAGGAAAAACCATAACAAGTAACAAAAGTCGCGATAATGACGACGTAGTAATCAATCCAAAACGAAACAAACAAGCATACACTTACATGCACCCTCCCCTCCTCGGCTCGCCTCACCCTCCTCCCACCCACCCCTCCCCTCCCGTAAAGCCAACCAACCACCCCACCTGCGCCAGGTCGGCAATCTCCTCCTCCAGCTGTTGCTTGGCCTCAGACAAGGTGGCCAGTCGGTTGTCGTACGAAGGGGAGATCAGGTACTCCTCAGGCAGCCGCTCCAGGTCAAGAGCTGCCTAATTGGACATACATACGGAGGACAGGGGGAGCGGAGAGAAGAGGTCCAACACACGCAAACAGAGGGCCACCCAGGGTTTCACAAACACTTGACCACCAAAGTAATTAATAATAAGCGGGTTTTTCCTAGAGCAAAGTTAGAATCAGTAGCCTTATAGAAAGCAGTCCATGTACAAAATGAAAGAATCGACGGTGGCGGACGCCCCCCAAAAAGCACCAACTGCCAAACTCAACAGCAACCACGCAGTTCCTGGAAGGGGGGAGGGAAAAAGAGGGTTACGGCTGTTCGTCAAAACGAACGAACATTCGAAGAGTTCATGAGGAGGTCAGAGGACACACACTCTCAAGAGATCCCCCCCCCTCCGCCCCCAACCCCCCAACCCCCCAGCTCCACCTCGAGCAGCTCCTCAAACCTCTGCAGGTGTTCGCCGTCGTGGTGCTGAGCCAGGGGGTCAGCATACCTGGGGGAAAAGCGGGAGGTGAGGGGGGGGGGTGGGAGGAGGGAGGGAAAAGAAAAACACTAAGACACCCACCCGCCCACCCGCTGGCCGCAACCCCCCAACCGCCCAGGCCCGCCCCCGCCGGTACCTCTCCACCAGGTTGGCCGCATGCGGTCCTTCGTGGCAGCGAATGGCCTCCTCAATGAGGGGCAGGCGGGCAGAGGCCCGGTACAGCTGGTGCAGCTCCTGGAGGGAGATGCGGCGGGACTGCAGCTTGCGAGTCAACCGCTCCACGTCCGGAAGGCCTGGGGAACGGCGAAAAAAGGGGGGAAGGGGGTGTTACACAGGGCGGGATTATAAAAAGTGGGATTGCTAACCGATGACAATCATATGGGAGCACGAGATGCACACACGAGGTATAACGGCTACACTGACGTGTCGTACGTCGTACGACACGTAAAAGGTCGTAAAAAGGCTCAGTCCCCGCCGTCCTGAACAACGTTTATCCCAGAGAAGCCCATGTCATGTCCTGTCATGGGGGTCAGCCGCCTCACCCGAGCTAGCCAAACCCGACGCGGGGCCCCCGCCCCCCGCCCCCCGGAGGTTATTTCCCCGATCCACCTCTGAATTGTTGGTCCCGCAGTCTCTGCCGCATCTCAGCATCCCCTTTCATCGCCTCCACCGCGTCGTGGCGCTGGGCGATGGCGGCTAGTTCCACCAGCGGCTGCTTCAACCATGTCTGCAAGAGCACACACGTGGGGAAGAGGGGGAAAGGGGGAGGGGAAACCACATACACCACATACGCGTTAGGAGCGCAGGCGCGTGGTGATACGAGGTAACCCTTTGCGAACGAATCGGCGCGCAGATGTGGTTATGTATGTATGTATACATATACATGTGTATGTATATATGTATATGTCTGTATATATATGAAATTTAAATTGTAAACAGTAAACAGAGACCGCAAACGCACCTTGAGGCGCCGCTTCCCCATAGCTGTACGGCAACGGTTGAGCAGACCGTACAGACTGTACGTGGCGTTCGCGTCCTGTGGAGGACGAGGCGTCCAGGTGAGAGGGTACGTGGTACGTGGTGCGGGTGAGCGGTGGTCGGGCGAGCGGTGGCAGTAGGAGCCTTCATGATGATCAGGGACTGACGACTTGGGCGGAAGCGGAGGATAGCACAACACATCGTCATGCCATGCAGTTCATAACCGACTTTGGAGCAGCAAGGTTCCCAATTGACTGACGATACGCCTTGGCATACTAATCGGCTGTAGTTGGTAGTAGTTGGGTAGATCGGACTAATGCAGTCGGTGCTTGTGACTTTCAACTTTTGTATGTATTTCCATGTATGAATCCCTCTTCCCCTCCCCTCCCCTCCCCCCTCCCCCCCTCTCACCGTCCGAGTGGGCAACACGTTCAGCGCCCGCTGCGCAGTGGCGTCCAATCGCATGTAGCACCCGGAGTTGTACAAGGACAACACGTAACGGCCGCCGCTGCCGCTCTGACCGCACTCGGACATCACTTCCGCGTACGACAGTACAGCAGCAAGTGCCGAGCAGGCCGTACGCCGCTCCAACACGTCACCGTGCTGCTCGACCGCACCGCCCTGGTTTCGGAATTGCGACCGAAGCATAGCACGAAAGTTGCAGAAAAGTACAGCAACCAGTAACCACCAACTGCTCATTCACTTTTTTCTCATATTTCGGTGCCACAAAAGTGTAGTGAGCGTCAGCTAGAACGTGGGGATGGCTAGTACTGGTTCCGAGTACTAGCTGTCCAAACACCCACACCCGCTTTAGCGTGTGCCTGAACCCGGGTGCTGCCAGTGTTCCATGCCCCCCAGCCAGCCGCCACACAAACCTAGGGCGAGTGTATTAAATAACCGGTGATCAACCCTCTATATCTCTCCACAAGTACGCACACACATACACACACATACATACATACACACACACATGAGAGAGAAGAGTAAAAAACGGAGCATAAACGCGTACCATCCTTACCAGACAAGGTTCTGATATTTTCTTTTACACAGCCCCTTTACACATGTTGATTAACCCGCGAAATGAGGACCACGGTACGGAAGAGACACTCACTCCCAGCACCCTTCACCTTGATGACCTTGGCCAGATCCGCCTCCAGGTGTTTGGCGCTGAACAGTCCCGCGGGTCGCTCCGTCACCATGAGGCCCACACTCTCCAGCAGAGCAGTCAGACGAGACCGCTGACCCGCGTCAAGCAGGGGCAGGGAATCCTGGAGGTTGCGGATGGAACGGGGGACGGCTGGGGGTCGGGGTATCGTAGTGAAACAAACATGGAAATGGAGAAATGAAATGGAAATGAAAAGAGATAGGACATGACGCAAAGACCTTCTGACAATTTGTTGTCAATATGAATATGCGAACAACCCAAAGCATAAGGACACCAGGACAAAACCTAACTTTTACCCTTCCCTCCCTCCTTTCTCCCTCAGCTGCACTGTGTGCGGTCCACGACCTGCTTCGTCAGGCTTCCTTTCCCACGTTCCTAAGGTAACCCTTTCGCACGTTACTTATCCATTACATTACTGACCCATTTGCACCTCGTCCGCTTCCACACACCCGCACACACACACACACACACACACAGGCACACACACACACAACCTCTCTCTCGCACACACACACATACACACACGCGGGGCCACCCTCTTTCCCCCACCTTGTTGACGACCGCCTCCCTCGCCCCCAGCTGCACCAGCACCGCCTCCAGACCGCTCAGCTGGTCGTCCAGGACCATCTCACAGGCGCCCAGTCGGCAGCTGGCGGCGTCCACGTAGGCGACGCCCTGGGGGCGACGGAGGGAACCGGGAACAGGAGACGGAGAGGAGGGGGGGTGGGGGGGGGGGCTGGGGAAGTGAGGTGAGGTGGGGTGAGGTGACGCGGCAACAAAGTATATGTACAAAAGGCCAAGAATCCGAAAATCCTCTCCCACCTCTCTCCTGAAGCTGCCTCTGATTCCTTAACAATAGCATCGGCCCTTCAAAGGGCAAACGCGGGAAGAGGGCCACTTTTATGCTTGCGAGGAAATTTATGTTTAACACTGTTGGGGGGTCTCCGTAGGGCTTGGAGTGTATCTTTACCTCACTTAAGCCGCTGACCCAGCCCTACCGCCTCCCTGGCCCCTGGGGGCCCCCTTTTTCCCTTCCTTACCGCAGTGACTTGTCCCTCGTACACTGTGAAGGTGATCGCCGCCACCAGAGGCACCTCCGACATCTCCGCGCTGCGATAAAGCTCCTCGTCGAATGCAGACAGCTTGCCGGGGGTGGCAGACCTGAAGGGAAATACATAAGGATGTATTTGGCTATTCGGATAAGGGAAAGTGCGAGGAAAGCTGGGAGGGGAAGGTTTTTATGGATTGAAGAGTGGCGCGTCTTGGGAGCCCCAGCTGCTGTTGTCCAAAACATGTTAAAATTATCTAGAGGTTATGATTTATGGTTTTAGCTTCCCTGCTTAACATAGGACCAAGTCAACGCGGCGGTTGTGGCTCAATCTTTGACTGGGGCTCTACCAAGCTGGTCATGTACGACAAGAGAGTCATCTTACATAAGAGAGTTCTTGGGGGCTGGGGCCCCTGGACTTGTCTCTGGGCGGCGTACCTGACCAACTTCCATCCAGTGCCTACGGACTCGTACAGCTCCACAATATGTGCCGTACCGCCCAGCAGCAGCTCCCTCAGTATAGTCTCAAACATAGCTCGGTTCACATTAACGTACGGCAGGCCGCTATCGGCGCCGCGGACGACCGCCGTCGTGCGATAGAACTGCCGTGCAATTGTGTTGGCTGCGGGGCCGTGCACGGAGTAGTAACCCTGCAGATGGTTGGCGGGTAGGCGGTTAAGGTCATTGAAGAATGCGCGGGTGACTGAGGAGGAGGGGATAACGTTGGTAAGCCTGCGGCAATGTGACCCAAATCAAGCGCCAGGTTTTCCTGGCGCTTTTACATAAACAGTATGTTTATGTCGCACCTAAAAAGGAATGTCCCGCGGCAAATTTCAACGTATCCCGCGAGGGCGGTGGAGTGGAATGGTATATCGTAGGTGCCACGGTGGAAACAGCGTGCAGACGGTTGGTTGCGGCGGTGGTTGAAGCCCAAGGGTGAAAACGGTAGATCCAGGTAAGACTGCTAGCAGCACCTGGTAGGTGCACAGTTTTGACCGGTGCGCTCATGCTGCACACACACATACACACACGCCGGAAAAGCCCATCCTGCCTTCTGTAGGATTACATCATGCCCGACAATGGCGTACCTTTCTGTCGAAAAAACGAATGATGTGGGGATCCTGCGGGGTTTTGTTATCGTGGGGATGTTGCTGATGGCCGTCCAGGAGGCAAAAGCTATTGGGAAAGGATTGATAATAGAAAATAGGATCGCGTTCACACATCATGCAACAGGTACATTGTAAGTAAAGGGACTTGCATAGGGTCGTCGTCATGGCAGGAGTGGTTGGCATAATGCGCGCCGGGGGAAGGAAAATCCCCCAACAGTGCCCAGCCGCACCTCAGTTAGGGTCTTGTGAAAACCCATAAATGCCCGAAGCGACTTATCGTCGAGGTCCTTAGGTGCAACCTCAACGTTGGCATCCTCCTCATCCATTTCCGGTTCCTGTTGTGCCTTTGGCGGCATACTGGAAAACCCCAAGCTCTGCTATGCGTTTGCTAGGAATTAAATTATTTCGGGACGATGCACCTTTGGCGAAAAGTTCACGTCGTTGCGACAGTCTACAAGCCTTCTTTCATGCGTCAATCAGCAATCGCAATCGTCAAATCCTCGGTCAACGCGCATCGACAAGCAGGTACTGTCAAGAAATCGCTGCAAACTTGGTAGGAAAAGATGCGTACGACGTTAACATGTTTGGCGGGAGACTCGAAATCTTGGCACCTAAACCATGTAATCGTCACGTATTATGGTCCAAGCTGTAAACTGTAAGTTGGAAACGCGGCTATGGCAGGCAAAGCGCTGATGCTGATTTCGTGCCTCGTCCTTTTCACAGCAACGGTCAACTGTTGTAACCATATCTTTGTCATGACTTCTGCGAACTGCGGTTGTGCGCCGTGCCATAATCTCTTAGCCTTCAGTTGAAAACATAGCCAATTTATAACCGTCTACACAGAGTTGTTATGAATAAATGTTGCATTCATGATAGGCCGCCGTGCGGCTGCTTTGTGAGGTATACCGTCTGCAGAAAGGTACACCCGCACCCTCAGCCGTGCGTCTCTCAGTTAACGTACATCCCTGCTGCACGTTACTCTCGAAGTTACCCCAAGACTGATTGGGCACGGGATGGCAGTGCCCCCTTAAAAGTAGCCCTTCAGGACAGGATGCCACGCATTCCCGACGAGCTGCATGCGCCTTTTGCCCTTGTAGGCCACCCCCTCTAGGTGATGATGACCGTGCTCCGCCAAGGCCTCTTGCAGTGTCACCAGCTAGGAGTGGGCTAATGTAGCCCTTCCTTGTGGTCACGTGAAACCCCGAGTTGGACGAGTCCCTTTTTTACAATATAGTCCAAAGGGTGATTGGTGCAGAATCATAACCAACGCAGCTCTTGCACACATCGGCATCAGCCCAGCTCAGTTATTATAGCGCAGCGGCAGCACACAATCACAAGGCTTTATTCTATTTAGATGAAATTAAAGCATTTCAATTCACATACAAACATACATACATACAGCGAAGGAAGCTAAAATAAAGCGCAGGGTACACCCCAGTCTACCTGCACATAGCATCAGCCGGTGTACAGCGACGGACGTGACCGTACAGCAGCAAAATGCACGGCGCGCGGCGCAAAAGGCGCCATGAAGAGGTGAAAAGGTATGGGGAATGTATGACGCTGTTGTGCGCTCGCACAGAGTTTGGGGCGCGCAATAGTACAACAGCAATAAGAACAAGATTGAAAGTGTTAATGCTCGTGTTCTAAAATTCAAAAGTATCGCGATCTTGGCGCGTGACGAGGACAACTTCCTGTTTCGGCTCACCTTTCCCCATCAGAAAACCATCGAGAGCTCTTTTATGCACAAATACCAACGCAAGCGAAGCAAAACACCGCCGACGTATTGAGCTCGTCTCGCCCCATCCGGCATGCACACCTGACAAATCCATCCCACAACCGACGCCACACATCCGCTGCTCCACCCTGCGAACACCCATCCACACCCGTCCACGCGCCCCGCGCGCCATGGCTACCCGAAAAGATACCCAACCAAAAAAGCCCTCCTGCCGGGCCCTGCCGGCTTTGGACAGCCGCTCACTACTTCATGCATACTTCAACTTACACATCACACGCGTTCTTCTCACGTGCGTGGCCGTACCGGGATAGTCGTACACTCAGCCGTACGCTCACGCCGAAACTCCGCAGGGAATTCCGCGCAGACTTTATGGATCAATGGATTTGCTAATTCACCATGCGCGAGGAGTATTACCCTCGTCTTGCAACGCTTGAGGTCTTCATCTCCGTCCATACCTTTTTCCCCCTTTAACCTCTCCCGCCGGGTCTTACCTACGCCTCCCCCGCCCTTCACTCAGCTAAATCGTAAGCGGTGTGCTATAATGATAATCACACGGACATGTTGAAAGTCCCGTGAGTCACTCCCAGGCAAAAACTTTCTGGCACCTCGCTTACACACCTCTCACACAAAATAGCCTCGTCTGCACGTCACCGTCCTGCTGTAAGTCATCCCTCCGGCAAGGCCCTTAACTTTTGTACTTCTCCTGGTGCTCCCCAAAACACGCAGCACCGCGATATGCTGTTCACAGTCCGGACAAGCCTGGACCGTACCCTGCGGCGCCACTGCCGATGTTACCGCCGTACAACGATGCGGCTGGCAGCGCCCGCGTGCCCGACATGGCCACGGCTCCGCTTCCCATCCACGCCGCCACCTCGTCTGCCAGCGACTGCATCGAGTCGGTGACGGGACCTCCCACCTGGCCTCCGAACATGGCCGACATGCCCACCACTCCGCGAGACAGCTCCTCCAAGGGGACCGTGGCCTGACGGTGCAGAGCCGGGCGAGACAGGTGGGATTTAGTTTCGGATAAGAGTTGGGGTGAGAGGTGGGAGGGGTTTCGGATTGGGTGTGCGTGTGTCCTCTCCACACAGACCTGGACACAACCTGCGATCACGCAGTCCGCCGCCGCCCTCCCCCAGGCCCCGCACCCACCTGCTGCACCCCCAGCTGAGTGGCCACAGAAGCCAGGCGGCCCAGTGCCTCGCCAGTGCTCTCCACCGCCCCCGCAGCCAGCCGGGCAACCTGTATGTGGGGCGTGCGGGGGTATGTAGTGTATACGTGCATGTGCATGTCTATGTGTGCGTGGGGGGAAGAGGGAGAAGGGGGATTGCCTTGACATGAAAAAGACTTGCCAGGACGTTTTTGCGCTTTAGGGAAGTAGCTCCGCTTCTTCCCGTGTGTGTATATGTGCGTCTCTCTCCCTCTTCTCCCTCCCTTTTCAACCCTTCCCTCTCCCCTCGCTTCCTCCGCTCTCCTCCCCTGACCTATCCTCCATTATCTCCCCCTTCCTCGCGACCACACCCACACTCATTTTCATACTCCGTTCATTAACCAACCCCCTTCCCTCCCCCCCTCCCTCTCTTGCCCTGGCAGCAGCTTCAATCGTGTGTGGTTCGTCTTTCCCCCCTCCCTCCCTTCACCCCGGCCCCATTTCCCCTCCTCCGTTTCCCTCCTCTCCAGACGGACCCTCACCTCCGGTGGCAGGTCCACAATGGCCTGCTGCATGGGCCGCAGGTGGTCACCAGGCAGGGTGCGAACTGCCAGGTCCAGCACCTCCCCCACAGCAGAGGAGCCCTTCAGGACGGAACGAGGACCGGAACGAGGGGGAGGGGGAGTGCGGGAAGGACAACGGAGGGGAAGCAGGCTTTGGAAATGGACTTGGTTCGCAGCTAGGATGATAGGATTGCCCTGGTTGCTGAATGGATATGTTGAATGGTCTGAACACAGAGTGCGAAACAAAGCCACTGTGCAGCCAGCCGGGCAGTAAGCCAGCACTCTTCCTCCTCATGCAAGCATTGAAGTATTCATCCATCCACACCTTGTCTACCGTCTAGTTCTATTCCAGTGTATCTTCTTCAGCCAAACCTCCTTTCCTCGCTCCGCTCATTTCCCCACTCGGCACCCTGCGGCGACCCCCACCTAAACCCATCTGCACTTCCCGCAATCTCCGGAGCTCAAAGCTTCCGTTTGGCGGTCCGCGTTCACGTCCGCGTTCCAGCGAAAACTTCCCTTTTCCCAAACAACTCTTAGGCTCTCGAAAGCTTTCCTTTCACCCTTCTCACCCAGCTAACAACCCCCCTCCAACCTTACCTGCAGCAGCTGCACCAGGTTGTTGGTGTCGTCCATGTGGTCGTCTTTGAACCTGAGCAGCATGTTGCGAGACACCCCGTAGTAGGTGCGGATCAGCATGCGGGTCTCCTCCGGGGTGGGCAGGAACTCCTGAGGAGGTGGGGCGGGGCAGGAAAGGAGGGGCCAGAAGAGGGGAGGGGACAAGGAGGAGGCGGGGAGGGAGCAGTCCTGGGGATTAAACGACGGGGGTCATAAACCAAGCTTTTGATGTGACCCAGAGGAAGGGGCAGGGGAAGGAGAACGAGAAGGCGTCATGTGCAGAAATGCATAAAAAGCGTCATCAAGACCATCATCACCTGCCGATGTGCAAATTTGGGGAGGTGGAGGGTGAGGGTGGCGCAGCGGCAAGCTCAGAGGTAGGGGAGGAGGGGATTGGGGGAGTGGAGCGTGAGTGAGCAGGAGGCAAGGTTTGCCAAGAGGTGGAGCGGAAAATATGGATGCGGTGATGCCTGGTGTGAGGAGGAGGAGGTGGTGGAAGGTAAAGGACTTAGATCGCGTGAGAAGGACGCAAGGGACCCGATCCGACGCCAGACGCAACTGAAAGCTATATACGCGCCACCACCACCTTTCCTTGCGACACACGGCATGCACCCTTGAACTTCGCTTCCTCTACATCACAAACATCACACACATCACTACTATTACAAACCGTGCAAAAGACATCCAACCCCCCATCCACGCAAGCGCACTCACGCCCTCCTGCCCGGCCCCCGACCCCCACCACTCACATACTTCCCCTGCGCCGCATCCAGGTAGATGGGCGCCAACTGCTCCACCAGGGGCAGAACCTGCCGTACAATGGAGGGACTCAGGCCCTTGACCGTCTCGGTGATGTTCTGTCCGGGTTAGGAGCCAGGGGACCAGATGTGGGTTTAGGGTGGTGTGTGGAGGGGAATGGGGTGTTAAGGAAGGAATGGGGAGTTCTACGCAGAAACGGAGGTTAAACGATCCCCATCAGTTTACTGATGGAGATACTGCAGTAATACCAAAGGAGAAAGTGAAGCCGGCAGTGGGGAAAGGAAAGCAGAAGGCGGCGAGGAGGTGGGTAAACTGATCTTGGGCGACTGAGCTGGCTTCATCAGCTGGCTTTATCACCCACACAACCCCTCCCAGGTTCCTATCTTCTCTCTGCACCAGCTCCCACCCACCAGTGTCACCCAATACACCGGATACACCATACAGACATACATACACGCATGCGGCCCCTTCCTGACCTCCACGGTGCTCCGGATTGGTGACGCCGCAAGCTGATTGACCAGCGGCCCAATCACCCGGGCTGAGGGCACGATGAGGGGGGTCAGCAGGGGAATGACGTCCGAGGCGGGGCGGTTGTTGTACGACATCAACACGTTGCCGGAGCGCTGCGGAGCGGGGGGTGGAGGGCGGCCGCGAGGGCGGAGGGCGAGGTTGTTGCAGACGAAAACGGAGGACGGCCCCGACGAATTGAGCTAAACAAGAAAGTTTCGAGGCTTATTGGATGATAGAAACGGCAGACGGTTATATTGTAACGGTAAAATGCAAATGGTAAGGTGCCTGGGTGCTGAAATCGCGGGAGATCTGAAACACCGAGACAGGTCGCCGGGGTAAGAGAGCCCGTCGAGAGGGTTCAAGGGCCGGCGGGTTCAGAGCCCCCGAGGAAAAGCCAGGTCAGGAGGTGGACTTTCCCAACCTACCTACGGTGAACAGTAAATACACCAAAGACCTCCAGGAAGCCAATCCCAACCCCCAACTAGGGGCTGGACCTCATCTGGACCTCATCTGGACCGGCCATGTCGTCCGCCGACGATATTCCCTAACAACCTACACACCTGTGTATATATGAAATATGAATTATACATATAAAGATATATATACATATATACATATACACACACACCTGAACGGCATATCTCGCGGAAATGAGCAGGTGGATGAGGCCCCCCAGCGAGTGGCCCACTCCGTAGGTGGGCAGGGAGGTGGAGGGCAGGGAGGGAGCCAGGGCGCGAATGGCCCGGTCGAACTTGAACTGGGACTCGTCCGCGATACGGAGGTGGTCGAATGAGGTGCTACACGGGGGGACGAGCGGCAAGTGAGCGAGCGAGCGCGGTCTTCAAAACGTCCGAGGCAGTAAAGAACACATGAACCTTTTCAATATGTAGCATCAAGTCAGGGGGCCGGGAAGAAAAGCTGTCGAAGGGCAAAAATGAAAACAAAAACACTGGTGGGAGGAAGCTGGAGGGCGGCCAGGAGGCGTTCAGGAAGGGAACGAGCACGTACGAGCTGATGGTCGAGTACGGCATCATTCTCTCAGGTCGCCTGCAGCGCAGCATTATCTGTGCCGTACCTGTACGGCGTAGCGACCACCAGAATGTCGCGGTTGGCCAGTGCTTCCAGGAACAGGCGGTAAGTCATCTGCGGTCAGAAAGAAAGGAAGTCGCGAGGCGGAGGTTTACCACCCACCACCGCTACCATCCACATGTTGTAGTGGGATTTGCCAAGGATTTGCCAGGTTAACTGCGGCGACGGCGGCGGGACAGCTGCACTCCTGGTCGGCTGGACGCCACTGCAATCGACCTCCCTCATCCAACCATCATCAGACCATCAGCGTTGGCCGCATCACTTCTTACTCTCGTGTCCACGAGAGGTGTTCGCAATGCCTCTTCTTGTCGTAGTTAGAAATTGAACATGGATCCCGGAGACAAGGCAATCGCACTGCGGAGATTCCCCTCTCCGTATACGCAAGTTCAGGCACTACTGGTAACGCACACATCGATGCAACCGGAGGTTCCGGGATCGAGACCTGTCAGGGTCGAAAATCCTTCCGATGGTGGAAGGCAAGAGTGTCCCTAATCGATGGACGGTGGTGACCTGGGATAAAGTAGACCTGCGAGCTGACCAGGAATGGAGTTAAGCCGCCGTTGATCCGGCAGATTCCGTTGGATGCCGGTGGTGGGTGCTGAACCTGAGCGATCCACTGAGAAGTTGACTAGGGTGACTGGATGAGGGTGCCCCAAAATACCGGGGAAGACAGGGTTTCGCCGGGTAGCGGCCACGGGTGGAGATATACCCCCCTGTCCAACACAACACACAGTGCACCATCTGCATGGCAATCGACCAGCTGCCTGGCTGGTTGACTTGGCTCTGACGGCTCATAGTCCTAAACCCATCCGGATGAATCCGTCCATTAAATGCCATCCCCACCCCCCTACCAAATCCCTACCGACCTGCGGTGCCGCGCCCACAAAAGGGCCTCCGAGGAAATGCGCCACCGCAGCGGGCGGGCGGCCTGACGGCGGGAAAAGCACATAGCAGCCCTCCACCTCGCGCCAGTCGTTACGCTGGCCGGGCTGGGTGCTGTTGAAGGTGGTCTGGGGGCGATAGGAACGTATGGCATCAGGGCACAAAGAGGAGGAGGAGGATAACGATAAACAGAGCGGCAGCAGCAGCTGCAGCTCTAGATGGGATGGATCGTGGTAAGCGGGTTTGGAGGGCGCATGCGTAGACGCCGCCGCGCCTGCTAGTAAATTGCAGTGTGAAGGACTTTGTTCATGCTGTCGGGCGTGGTATTAGTATCAATGCCGCTAGCAGGGCTACATTCGTGGTCCATATCGTGAAATGGGACATTGAGGGCGAGGCGGCGTTAGAGAAGCAGCAGGATACGGTCGGTGTAGCAGTAGTTGAATATGCTGTCCAAATGGACGAGGCGGCCAACCCTCCTCGGCAGTGGAATGGTGCACTTGAGCTTTATCCAGAAGGTTCAAAGGATTGGACGAAACGATGGGGTGTGCTTGACAGCCTTCACATGTAGCTCCGGTATGCAAGCTTTTCCGCTCCGCACCTGTATCATGGACTCTATGTTTGAGAAGATTGAAGGAACTGTCCGAGGTAAGTTTGATGGCGTCGCGCCATTGATTGTGGAGCCGACTGGTTGATGGGTGGCCGACACACGCAGAGTGCGCCGAGCGACGCCGCGACCTGCGTATGAGGTACGTGTTGCAATAAGACACGACTAAATAACTGATCGCGGCATGATATCACATGCAAGTATTGCGCATGAAGATTGACAGAAAGCTTCGTGAAACCGCAAGATGGCGAAACACTTAACCAAAGTGCGTAACCCTGCAAAAAAACAAATGCTGGTGCTCATGTGGCACCTACGCACCCAATAACCGAGCCATTTTGGATTAAACGGCGACGCGTTGTAACCCATCTTGGGGATGCACCGTCAACTTTGGCCCACCAACAGTTTTCCACATTGACAGTAGAGAACCGAGTTAACCTGTAATCTGAACACAGGAATCCGTGCCAGAGACCTCCAGTTTTGCACTCCATGCATATAGCCTCTTCCCGGCAATACATTTCTAGAGCCCTCGCTTTCACAAATAACCGTCACGCCGTATGGTGATCCATGCGCATATTTAGCCCTCATAAAACAAGGGGAAAGGCACTCGACCCGCGCTTTAGCTGCAACTCTCGGTCCGAATGCCCCACCTGTTACGGCAGGAACTTTGGCGCGCCCATATGCTGCTCCAGCTGCCGCAGGACGGGCTGAAATGCCATGAAGAGAGGTAAGCGCCATGCCGAAACAGGAATCGAAGGAAGCGGACCGGACGAATTTGACACGTAGAAAGTAAGACTTTGACGTATCTAAAGCTGGCCAGTACTTGCAAGGTCGCAGATATTATCGAAGTCTTACAGCGTCTATGGAAGATTGCAGACCCATGGGAGGCAAGCCGGGCAATGTACGCGTACGACACTCTCGCTCCTGCTCACAAGAAAGCCAATGGCCTTCCTCGTCCTCATCATCGTGATAAAAAGGAGGTGCAGTTTTACTGCCTCTTGCTGTCACCTAGCTTCATTCGACTTGCAAGGCCTTTGGTGCCTCGGCGTTGGGAAGGATGACCTCTCTCCTTGTAAAGCCTTGCTCGTTGCTATGCAAGAAATCATCTTTCAGGACTCCAGTGCCTTTTTCCGTTGGTAAGAACCCTGTGGATATACTAATACGTGGCCGTCCGTGCTTGACCGTTCCCAAATACCTCCGCGCATGCCTTTTTGCAGGTGCACTGAACTTGCAGCGTACCAGTCACGTCCTAGGCCGTGGGCACAGGGTATGCCCAGGCCGGTCACGAACGCCCGTCCGCGCTAGCAGCGATGACGGCAAAGAAGTCGTGTACAACAAAGAGTTTGGATACTCACGCAAGGATGTCTTGATTATCACGTTTGGTCTTATCGCCCTGGGCTATGCTCTCTATTATGGGCTTCAGGCCATGGGCATGGAGGCAGGCTACGCGGGTAACTGGGTCCAGCTCATCATCTTCATGGGCATTTGCGTGGGCTGGATTTCCACCTATATCTACCGTGTTGCAACCAAGGTACGCGGCATAGGAGGCTGCAAGGGTGTATTAGCTTGGAATTGCTGGTCCATGGGACGTACGGTGTGCGTGATATGGTGGTGGTGACTAAGCTAGCAAGCAGCGCACTGTTCAATCACGCGCTTTGTACATGGCGCGAATTAAAAGGGCTGCTACAGACATCCCGTCATGGCCTTCATGGTTTTGTCTTGTGAGGAGTGAGGATGTGAGGGGATCCGTGCCTGTGGACGGCACCTAATCAGATTCCGAATGCTATGCTCTATGGTGCCTATCATTGTGTCACTTCGCCCATATGGGTTGCCATAAGGAGCTGGCTCTATATCCGGTATATAGCTAAATCCTTTTATTAAAGAATTAATATACATTCCCGAGCTTTGGTCTGGATCGGCCTGTTGTAGTCACTGTGTGCAATGCGCCCCTGATCATGTGCTCCCAACTGGGCGTGTAACACCGCTGCAGCAAATGACGTACGTTAAGCAGCTGGAGCAGTACGAGGAGGCGGTGATGCAGAAGCGTGTGGAGGAGATGACGGAGGCGGAGATGGCAGAGCTGGCGAATGAGGTGGAGGCGGACCGGCAGCGGCGGCGGGCAGGGCGAGCGGCACCAAAGTTGGAATGAGCGATGCGGCGGCGCATGCAGGAGGGCTGAAGCCATTTTGTGTTGCCGTGTCCAGCTCTGCGTCTTGTGTAATTATGGCTTAAAAAAATTGTGCTAGCTCCAAAGCACGCCATAGGAGATGTGTGCAGGCATGCGTGTGATGGCCCGCGGCAGGTGTATAGCCATTATCAGTTTTAAAGGAAATCGCGTTCGTTCACCCGACGGAAAACATGTAAATTTGTGAGAGTCGCCGAAATACGAATAGCTGAACTGGACTGGGTTCTCCAAGAGGCAACTCGAAATCTGAGTAAGACGAACCCGTTGCATGTAGCGGGGCGGTCATATTGCGTCTGATGTGGCTCCCGCAGGTGTGGTGTGATTTGGGTTGTCCTCGTAAAACGGCAGCGGGTTGTCACACGTGTACACGTGACAACACAGATGCGTGACACGTGACGTAACACCTGAAACGGCGGGAGATTGACGTCTTAGGGTGAATCTGATGCAGCAGCGGCCTTCACACGCACACGCCGTCGTCTGGGGCTAAATGTTTGGATGTGCAAGGCCGCCAGGAAATGTGCAGCACTGGACCAGTAGTTGGGCGATAGTACGTAATACTATCGATCAAAAGGGCCCCTGCCGACTTATGGGCGCTGGTTGAGTTGTTGATTTTAGGCTTGTTAAAAGGACGGGAAAATCTGGAGCCTCAGTATTCACCGCCTCAGTATTCATGGCCTTAAGTATTCGCGCGTGTGTACCTCCTCATATCTGATTCGGCACACCGTGATGGATGGATGGACCTGGACCTGCCGCCACATGGTGGACCAGCGGGCTCTGCTGCCGAGGTATCCTGACATCACAACGAGCAGCAACTAACTCCATCTGCGCGGGAAGGGAGCGGGCTGCCGGTGGGGGTGCTCGCCATGGTGGCGGGCTAGCTTAAGGGTTCCGATAACGCCGCGGCTCTACTTTATTTGTGCTGGGGCGCAATCGCAGGGTGGCTGCTGGACTCTGAAGCAGGTTAAGCTAGGGCTTATATGACGAGGAGTGTATGATGGTAATCACTCCCTATCGCAATAATGGATAGCACGAAGACTGTTGTTGATGCTGGTTAAGGAGAATGAATGATTGAGCAAACGACGTCGCAGCGGGCCCCCCGGGCCGGGTCCTTCGGGGTCATCAATATGCTGCGTCGTGCTGCGCGCACCCAATGGCTGCGCAGGTCAGCAAAAGTCCGAAAGGAACCTCCAAAGATACCGATTGCCAATCGAATGGCTAGCTAGCTGCATGTAGACCGCTGCCTCCGCCAGAATAACAAGCGCAACTCCATTCGCCCGTTGGGAAATAGTTCCCCATTGCCCACGCTTGTGCATTCCCGCCCCCTGCCGCTACCTGAGTCCAAGAGCTCCCGATAGAAGGCGGCGTCCGCCAGCGACGCGGCATGCAGGGGGGCATCACGTAGCCGGCCTTCGGTTGCCTCTCCCGTTGTCTCTTTGCCTCGGCAGTGTCGCGCATAGTATGGGAACGGGTTTTGGGGCGGGGCCCCAGCACGAAGCGCCCAGGAGGGCCCCGACCTGTAGGATTGTCCATGTCTGTGTGTGTGTGTGTGTTGGGGGGGGGAAA